AGGCCACCGTCCGTGTCTTAGTTATTACCGAAGAAATGGTGGAGAACTCTGCGGTTGTTAGGATAGGACCACTCTCCCCAGATGAATTCCTTTCAAGATACCAGAAAGTTTTAGTGAGAGCAATTGCAACTGAATTTTCCATTGTGGAAGATTCAGTTGTGGTTATCAGCCTTCAGCCTAAACTTTTGCATTCTCACTCAATGGAGAAAATTGATTATAGTTCGCAGCGTTCAAAAAGAGAGATCCAGAGAGGTTTAGACGTATTGATTGTCGTGAAGAAACCTGACAACTCATTTTTCTTAAGAGAAGAGTTGCTTCAGCAGTTAAAACTAAAGAAAGCAGAAATAAAGGAGAGACTTGGCTTGCATTTACTGGCTGTGATGAACTCCATGTGTACAACAGAGACAGACTGCAGTGGCCATGGATCATGTACTGATGTCGTAGAGATCAGTGACGACGTGTCTGTCCCGTTCAACACTCAACTCTCAAGTTTAGTAGCGCCAAAGTTCATGCAAAAAGCTGGCTGTGTCTGCGATCAGGGTTATGGAGGCGGAGAGTGTGAAACCCTGGTGAATGCTTGTGGTCACCGACCATGTGCAGAGTATGAGGAGTGTACGCCCACTGACGCAAGCACCAGAGGTTATACTTGCCAGTGCCCCTCGGGGCGCGCCGGACCCTCCTGCCAAGTAGATCTAACAAAATGTCGCAACCCTTCATGTCATTATCCGCTGAGGCCTTTGTCTTTCAGAGGCAAGAGTTATGCGCAGTATAATGTGGCCAGACAAACCGAAAGCAGTTCTCTGGTGCTCAGCGTTTTCCTGCGTACCAGGAATCCAGTGGGCACAATTGTCTTCGTTGCAGGAGATGTAGACTACAGTATACTGGAGGTGGTTGGTGGTCACGTCCAGTACCGCTGGGATTGTGGGAGTGGGGAAGGTCTGGTCAGAGTCTCAACCATTAGAGTGAACAACGATCAGTGGCATTTTATCAACCTGACTCGCGAAGGTACAATCTCTACTCTTAGTGTGGATGGTGAGATAAGCTCGGGAGCGGCGCCTGGTGCTAATGATATCTTAAATATGGATTCAGACTTCATGTATATAGGTGCCACCGTCAAAACTGAACGAACTTCTGGAATGTCTTCCTATTCCCAGAGTAGTCTTGGCTTCGTAGGCTGCCTCGACCAAATTACCATAGACGGCATAGAGCTTCCTGTAAGTATTACAGGATCTTCATCAGGTGGTGCTGTACTGAAACGTTTGGCAAATGTTGAACTGCAGTGTCCTCATACTTTGTCTCCTGCCGGCGTGTGTGGTTCATACCCTTGCCTGAATGGTGGCACCTGTAGTGAAAATGGAAAATCCTATAAGTGCACTTGTCCTCCGCGTTTCACAGGTGCTCAGTGCCAGGTAGACACAGCACCTTGCTCTTCCTCGCCTTGTCTTAATGGTGGAAAATGTATTGTTGTTGGCCACACGTATAGTTGCCAGTGTGAGTCGAAATTAAGTGGAAAACGTTGTGAATATGGAGTGTTTTGTAACCCTAACCCATGTCAGAATGGCGGCCGATGTGAAGAAGGTGCTGACGGACCTATATGCAAATGTCAGCACTTCACAGGTGCCATGTGTCAGTTAGATATTGATGAATGTACTCGTAACCCCTGCCAGAGCGGAGGTACATGTCTCAATTTCTATGGTGGCTTCAAATGTATATGTTCGTCGAATGTAACCGGCGAGTATTGTACAGAGGCCATAACCAAGCCACAGACCCCGTCCTCTCCCCTCAACATCACCTTGGAAGAGCTTGTATGCATCTTGGCAGTCTTCCTGGGCTGCGTGGTGGCCATGTTGCTGCTAGTGGCCTGGCAGCGACGACGCTGGAGACACAAGCGTCACCAGCAAAACAATCGCATCAAGCTCACCGACCACCACGTCAAGAATGACCTCAAGGCCAATGATGCGCCCAAGAGAAATTCCAAAATTTGCAACGTGGAAGCTGACCAGGTAATGGACACGATTTTATGGATTATATTTATTATTTTCATGTAGATATACAGTAGATGCAGTAGAAAACTTCTAAATTTTTTTTGTTTTAGAGTTATCTTCATATACTTTGTCCAACACATTGCCATTTGCTTCTTATTCCTTTTTTTATTTCCTTGCCCGTTTTTGAGTTTCCTTTCCTTTCGTTGCTGTTGACGGCACACAGCAGGGCCCTCCGCTGCCGCCGCGTCCGGCGTCCTACACCCCCAGCGGCACCGACTCCGTCATACTCAACACACTCAAGCATCTGGCAGACCTGTCCGCAGCGGGCCACGAAAGCCTGGAGCTGGAAACATTGTCGAGGTGCTCCCATGAGTTCCTCCATAGCCTTAACAAGCCTGTGGTGGTGCCGCCCAACCTCTCACCGCCGCCTCCCTCCAACAGTGATTCGGACTCGCTCCACAAGCCCTGGGACCACCACAACAACCTTAATGACTCGTACTTCATGCCCATCAAGGGTGAGTCACTCAGAGTGTGACTGGCAATACACAAAAACAATATATCACCTGCTTTCTTTGGCTCTACAGACAGGGACAACCACTGCTTCACCTCAGTAATGATCAGTGTGGGGGAGCTGCCATTCCTTCCTAGCTTCATCAACAACATCTCGGTTACTGTAACACTAATGTTTCAGATATATGACAGTACACTACTATTCCAAGATGGCACCGCCAGACTTCAGATTACTAGACAAGCGATATAACTTAGATTAAAGAGTAGCTCTCTCTCGTACAGAGACCTGATTCAGGTTTGAAAACCTCACACATCACCTCATGTGAACCCGCCCACACAAGGCACTCTTATAACTGCCTATTTAACATCTCTCTAGGATTTGTCGTCAGTATTTGATATACAAATCTGTGGTCCTCATCCTATTTTATTTATTTGCGCTTAGTGGCCTTAGTTTAGCCAGCTTGATGCCCTTCACCCATCAGAACCATCCTCACCATCATTCATTTTCTTCTGTGTCGAATTGGTTTTGTGTAAAATGTTTTATCGACTGGGGGCTTCAGAGTTTTTCAGAGTTCAGTGAACATTCGTCATTAACTGAGATTTTATCTTAATGTTTTAGGAAACCAACTTAAATTTGCGGTAATGTACGAGGAGACAGGTTCACGCTGTCTGCTAGCCAGTCACTCTTTTGCTCCAGTATTAAAAAAATGACTCGGTAATATTATTCTATTTTGCAAAATGCACGATAAGTGATGGAGGCTGTATGACATGTCCGCCAATCAGGAAAGATACTCCAACTGTACTCAGAGCTCGTTATTGGTTGTTGAACATCAAGCAGCACCACAAATGAACTTAAATATGGTCATCAGTTGTTTAAAACTTCCTCTCTCTCCCATTTCACTATTCACTCCCGTATAGTTCATTGCCTTCAAAGTTCCAGTATTATGAGAAGCAGCGACTCAACTGTGCTGGCACCCTGGGTGGCATCAACTATGCTGGCACCCTGGGTGGCATCAACTGTGCTGGCACCCTGGGTGGCATCAACTGTGCTGGCACCCTGGGTGGCATCAACTGTGCTGGCACCCTGGGTGGCATCAACTGTGCTGGCACCCTGGGTGGCATCAACTATGCTGGCACCCTGGGTGGCATCAACTGTGCTGGCACCCTGGGTGGCATCAACTGTGCTGGCACCCTGGGTGGCATCAACTGTGCTGGCACCCTGGGTGGCACCAACTGTGCTGGCACCCTGGGTGGCATCAACTGTGCTGGCACCCTGGGTGGCATCAACTATGCTGGCACCCTGGGTGGCATCAACTGTGCTGGCACCCTGGGTGGCATCAACTGTGCTGGCACCCTGGGTGGCATCAACTGTGCTGGCACCCTGGGTGGCATCAACTGTGCTGGCACACTGGGTGGCATCAACTATGCTGGTACCCTGGGTGGCATCAACTGTGCTGGCACCCTGGGTGGCATCAACTATGCTGGCACCCTGGGTGGCATCATTTATGCTGGTACCCTGGGTGGCATCAACTATGCTGGCACCCTGGGTGGCATCAACTATGCTGGCACCCTGGGTGGCATCAACTATGCTGGCACCCTGGATGGCATCAAGGCGAAGACATCAAAACTTTGAGTAACTCAGTTGCTGGTGTGGGAGAACTCTACATAATGATGCAAAAGCGTTAAACCCTTGAGGATCATTCATCGAATTTCAAAAGGGATTATCGAGATTCGATATCAGGTAGTGTACAGTATGGTATAAACCTTGGTAATAAATACCGACAAGTTGGTTTAGAAGTGATCAAGGTCCCAGGACCGAAACGTTTTCTAATATGGCATAGTGTTTGTTTACGTGTCTTTCTAAACCAGTGTACAGTATACTGTCCGTAAGAGAATATGCACAGTGGGCAGCTCTCGGCTGTTTTGCATGACAATATCTTCCTATAGTTACCCTACCCAGAACTCTGCAGGTGGAGGTACCCAGTCAGTACCAGTTATCTCTTCCTTTTACTGTTATTTAAATTTAAATCTGCAGTTTAATACCTCATTTCAAATCCCAGCCCAATCTAAAGTATACTACATGTCGAATAAAAGTGACAGTACCACCTGCTGCACCACCACCACCACTACTACTACTACTACTACTACTACTACTACTACTACTCCATACTCCCATTCAACCTCTCCCTTCCCTGTCCTCTCTCTTATATTCTCGCTTCCTTCCCTTCTCACTTTGTGATCCAAGTTGGATCGAAACATCGTCATAAGTTGCAGTCTCTCACGTGTGAGTCATTAGCTACATACCCCCCTCCCCAAACCCTCAGGATGTCATCAGCACACACGGGTACCTGTTTACTGATAAATGAGCCGGGGTAGTAAAATTTTGCCTCTAGCTTCGACTCGGCCAACGACTGAACCCAGGACCGTCGGTTGTGAGACGAAGTTGCTTTAACAGAGCTACAATCCACTACTTTGTTATTTATTTTGCTCCATGAACTCAGCCTGTGTGTGTGTGTGTGTGTGTTGTGTGTGTGTGTGTGTGTGTGTGTGTGTGTGTATGTGTGTATGTGTGTATGTGTATGTGTATGTATGTGTATGTGTGTGTGTGTGTATGTGTGTGTATGTGTATATGGTTGTGTGTGTGTGTGTGTTGTGTGTGTGTGTGTGTGTGTATGTGTATGTTGTATGTGTGTGTGTGTGTGTGTGTGTGTGTGTGTGTGTTGTGTGTGTGTGTGTGTGTGTGTGTATGTGTGTGTGTATATGTGTGTGTGTGGGGTGTGAATGTGTGTGTGTGTGTGTGTGTGTGTGTGTATGTGTGTGTGTGTGTGTATATGTGTGTGTGTGTGTATATGGGTGTGTGTGTGTGTATATGGGTGTTTTGTGTGTGTACTCACCATTTGTACTCACCTATTTGTGGCTGCGGGGGTTCGAGTCCTAGCCCCTGGCCCCGCCTCTTCACCGGTTGCTACTGGGCCCTCTCTCTCCCCGCTCCATGAGCTTTATCAAACCTCGTCTTAAAACTGTGTATGGTTCTGCCTCCACTACGTCATTTTCTAGGCTATTCCACTGCCTTACAACTCTATGACTGAAGAAATACTTCCTACTATCTCTCTGACTCATTTGTGTCTTCAATTTCCCAAATTTGTGGCCTCTTGTTTCTGTGTCCCCTCCCTGGAACATCCTGTCTTTGCCCACTTGTCTATTCCACGCAGTATTTTATATGTCGTTATCATGTCTCCCCTGACCCTCCTGTCCTCCAGGTCGTCAGGCCTTTTTCCCTTAATCTTTCTTCATAGGACATTTCCCCTTAGCTCTGGAACTAACCTTGTCGCAAACCTTTGTACTTTCTTAGTTTTTGACGTGCTTTATCAAGTGCGGGTTCCAAAACGGCTGCATACTCCAGTAGGGGCCCTGACATACAGGGTGTACAGTGTCTTGAATGATTCCTTACTAAGGTATCGGAATGCTGTTCTCAGGTTTGCCAGGCGCCCATATGCTGCAGCAGTTATCTGATTGATGTGTGCTTCCGGAAGGACATGCTCGGTGTTATACTCACCCCAAGATCTTTCTCCTTGAGTGAGGTTTGCAGTCTTTGGCCACCTAGCCTTTACTCTGTCTGTGGTCTTCTGTGCCCTTCCCCTATCTTCATGACTTTGCTTTTGGGCAGGATTAAATTCGAGAAGCCTTTTTGCTGGACCAGGTGTCCATCTGTCAGGTCTCTTTGAAGTCCTGCCTGGTCTTCATCAGATTTAATTCTCCTCATTAACTTTCACATCATCTGCAAACAGGGACACTTCTGAATCCAACCCTTCCGTCATGTCGTTCACATATACCAAAAATAGCACTGGTCCTAGGACCGACCCCTGTGGGACCCCGCTCATCACAGGTGCCCACTGTGTACATCATTACGTACCATGACTCGTTGTTGCCTCCCTGTCAGGTATTCTCTGATCCATTGCAGTGCCCTTCCTGTTTATGCGCCTGATGCTCTAGCTTCTGCACTAATCTCTTGTGGGGAACTGTGTCAAAGGCCTTCTTGCAGTCCAAGAAGATGAAATCAACCCACCCCCTCTCTTTTGTTTTACTTCTGTTATTTTATCATAAAATTTCCAGAAGGTTTGTGACACAGGATTTGCCTTCCGTGAATCCGTGCTGGTGGAAATTTATACTCCTGTTCCGTTCCAAGGTGCTCCCCCACTCTCCTCCTGACAATCTTCTCCATAATTTTGCATACTATACACGTCAATGACACAGTCTATAGTTTAGTCCCCTCTTTTCTGTCTCCTTTTTTTAAAATGGGAACTACATTTGCCGTCTTCCATACCTCAGGTAGTTGCCCATTTCCAGGGATGGTTGAAGATTGTGGCAAGTGGCACGCACAACAATCTGCTCCCTCTCTAAGGACCCACGGGGAGATGTTGTCCGGTCCCATTGCCTTTGAGGTATCGTTTGTCCCTTAGCAGTTTCTTAAACCTCCTCCTCATCTGTATTGTATGTCGTCCAACACTTGTTGGTGTATTCTTGCGGGTGTCCCCATCTGGTCTGTCCCCCCAGAGTCCTTCCTGTCTCTACTGTAAATACTTCCTTAAATCTCGTGTTGAGCTCCTCACATACCTCTTGATCGTTTCTTGTGAGTTCTCCACCTTTTTTCCTCAGCCTTATCACCTGGTCCTTGACTGTTGTCTTCCTCCTAATGTGGCTATACAACAGTTTCGGGTCAGATTTGACTTTCGATGCTATGTCGTTTTCATACTGTCGCGGGGCTCCCTCCTTATCTGTGCATACTCGTTTCTGGCTCTTCTACTAATCTCCTTGTTTTCCTGGGTCCTATGCCTCCTGTACCTTTTCCATTCTCTGTTGCACTTAGTTTTTTGCCTCCCTACACCTTGGGGTTTAAACCAAGGACTCGTTTTGGTCTTCCTATTATTTCTTTTTTCCCTTGGGAACAAAACTTTCCTTTTGCCTCCTTGCACTTTGTTGCCACATATTCCATCATCTCGTTTAC